ATGACTAGAGCTTTGGAATTTAATTTTTAGGTGAGAATGATTATGATCATGATATTGGCCTCATCCGGATCCTCACTGATGTCATGGGAGACATCTATGCTCGAGACATTTCTATCACTGTGACACAGGAGCATCCTCATCTCATTCAGAATTGTGTGATCAGAATGCACAATTTGCTTGGCTGAGTCAAGGTTTCTACTATTGATTGAATGTATGTGTCCCTCAAAATTCATATATGGAAACCTAATCTTCAGTGTTACAGTATTCAGAGGAGGGACCTTGGGGAGGTAATTAAGTCATGAGGGTTGGGCCCTCAGGAATGGGATTAGTGCTCTGATAAAAAGAAATCCCTCATCCCTCCCACCATGTAAGCACCACGTGAGTGAGAAGACTGCTATCTACGAGCCAGGAATTGGGCCCACAATAGACACTTGGTCTGCCATATCTTAGACTTTCCAGCCTCCAGAACTGTGAAAAATACCCATTTGGTAATAAATATTTTCATTACCACAGACTAAGGGACTAAGGCAGTTAGTATATTTTCAAGGCTAGCTATCTTTGTTGCAGCTTACTACTCATAGTCATTGGTTCTATTCTTTCAAATCCCTATTTTATTAGGCAGATTACATCTCTATTATATGGCTATACAAATGTTGGAATTTCAGGTAGTTTACTTGTCACTGATCAGAATGTGCATAGCTAGAAGAAAACCCATTTTCTTGTTTGGAAAACCAGCTTGAAATGCACGTTACATTGTTGGCAGTTCAAAGGCTGCATTTTCTTTTTAATAATTTTTATTTTATTTTATCCCCTTCCTCCCTTAAGCCCCTTCTCCTCCCTAGCATTTTCATACATGAAATAACTGCATGTGCCTTAGTATGGAGGACATTTTAAATCATAATATGAACAGTGAGCTTATTGTGTATAGATCATAAACCATTCATTCAAATCAAGGATTTCCTTATAATTATATTTATTACCAGATGTTACATTTCAAGCAGTGTTTCAAAAGAGCCCTTTTGTGATTATTTGGAAAAATATGTATCCAGTACTTCTGAAAATGGGAGATGCTTAGCAAGATAGTTAAGGGTTGATTTTTGTCCTTTGGATCTGCATATTCATTTTATTTAAACAATTGATCACTAGCAAGTTGAACATATAATCATCAACAAGTGGAGGATATTTAATGAAATTTCTATGTACGTGTACAGCACAGAGATATGTGACATGGGAAATGTATCATTAACTACAGCTACAATTTAACAAAAGAGAAGTAGTTTCATTGCAGTTCTACATGAATTTGGGATTGGAGTTTAGGATACCACCATACCTTTTGTTTGAAAATTCTCAGCATGTTCGCCTTGGTGGTTATAGTTAAGATCATTTCTTGTGAAATGCATGACATGCAAAGTAAATTAATTCTGGCAAAAATAACAAATGTTAATATAACAAATGTTCTGGTATCTAGGCTAAACATCTTTATCATTATATAAGTATCTTTTATCTACAGTACAATGAATTGAAATTCATTATTATGCCTATGAAACATTCCAAGACATGAAGGTGCTGAATTAATAAAATTTAAATTATATTTGATGCAGCTTTGGAGTTGAAGTATTTGATCGCATTCTTTTGACAACTAATTATTCATGTGTGGTGTATGCAGTGACTTTCAATTTCCCAGAATAGAGCTTATAAAACTTATGAACAGATTGAGTTCACAAAATATATTTGTATATCAATTTGTTTGGAACTAGAGAAATATGTTTCTATGAAAACAGTGTTATATTGTTTATATAAAAAAGTTTGCTGTGTATCTATTATGTGCTAGGCAGTACAAGAATAAAAGAAAGATAAGTAATACTTCCTCAAAGACTTCACTATCTCATGGGAGTGACAGATAAGTAGCAGTGGTTGAGTATGGTAGAGGAAAAGGCAGAATGCTTTGGGATGCAAACAAAGATACATAAATCATTCTAGGGACCAGGAAAGGTTTTCCTCAGAGAGAAATATCAAGTAATTTTAAAGCATATTGGTGTGTGGGGAAGAAGGAGAATGACCCATGAAGAGGACACAACTATGTGAATTCACAGTGGCATAAAGCGGTAAGGTATGGTTAGGTAACTGCCAGTGGTTTGATCGAGCCAAAGCTTTTGGACTCGGGGGTAGAGCAGAATGCAACCCGTATGTGTCACTTGAACACCATGGACAGCTTGTGTTATTTTATCCACAGGGAGCAAAATCACTATGTTAAATCTCTGGAAAGACTATTTCCATAGCTTGGTAGAGGGTCAAATGAAGAAGTGTTATCAGATAAAGGAAAGGAAGGTAATAGGAAAATGTAGGCATCCAGGGTTTAAGTGGTGAGACTAGAATTTCGAAAGGTCTTATAATCATCTTCATCAGTCTTTTGGCTTTTGTTTGCACCTTATTGTCCCAAGAGGGTCAGAGCCAGCTCTTTGAACTGGTTTTGAAAAATACTGCTCACCATTTCCACCTACTTCACAATCCTCCTTGAATCCTGGGGGCCTATATCTTCTCTCTTTTTCTTCAGCCTTCCCCCACACATGAAAAAAGCAAAAAACCATAAACCTTAAGAAAAACAGACTCCCTTGTGTGGAGGGAGTGAAAATGTGGGATGGGACTGAGATCTTTAGCTCCTCACAGCAAGTTTCTCGGCTAGGCTTTGCTAGCACCATTTTGATGTAACAAATCTACAAAATTTAGTTCCTGATTAGATGTTTGGGGAATGAGAGATTGAAAAAAAAAGTTCAGGATTGGGCCGGGGATTTAGCTCAGTGGTTTTGCCACCTGCTGCGCAAGCGCAAGGACCCGAGTTCAATCCCTGGTACCAAAAAAAAAAAGTTCAGGATAATTCTGTTTTTTAGCTCATGATGAGAGTATCATTTATTGATATATTTTCTACCCCTCTGCTGTGAGGGGGTAATAAAATGTAAAGCAAGGTAACAAGTTGGATTATGAATCTTTGGGGTATCCAGGAGAAAACCCAAGAGTGGTTTTGTGTGCAAGAGTTCAGAAGAGAGGTGGCTGGTAGGGTAGACAGGAAAGTCATCTGTGTAAAGGATGTCACTGAAAATGTATGTAACATCAATTCACTTAGGAGACTGATTAAAGAATGGGAGATCAAGAAAGGAGATGAGCAATTCTGAAGTTTAAGAGGGCAATCTGAGGAAGAAACTTTATGGAGATGAATTTCTTCGTCAAAACAGAGGGATGATAAACCAACTCTAATTCAAATATTTCAAAGATATTACTTTGAAGGAATGAAATTCCCTCTCAAAACAGTAGACAGTCTTTTCTCCTTGGTAGAAGAGACTGTATATATTCAACACTGTGCTTACTCTGACCTCATATATGATCCATGAATTGCAAAGTAAAATTAAGACATACAAAAAAGTTATGAATGGGATACAATAAATATATAATGCTCTTCAAAGGCCATGCTTGTTTTGAGAGCATTTTTGCCCAATAGAGTCAGAACAGTTTCAGCTAAACTGTAGATAAATATGCCAAAGAGAAACTGCCAAAGTTCAGAGAATTTTGCAGAATAAATTCACTGCTTGTTAAAATGTTTTGTTCTAACAGTCACAGTCTAGCATGAAATATTCTGAAGTCAGCGATTCTGAAGACGCCTAGCTGTTCTGAAGGGCAGATTTCTTCCTGTCAGCTACAGCAATACAAAGTAATACATAATGAAAAGAAAGCCAGGATAACACATTTTTCCTTGAGAGAATGGTTTGTGGAAATTTTCTTTAGTCTTTGTTATTTGATAAAGGCCTTTTCTCCAAGTAAACAAATTTGCACGCCTTTATCTACCAAGAAGTTTGACCCTTTGCATGAACCAAGAAGTATACTTTTTACTGAGGTGAGAGTCATCTCAAAAGCCTGTTGCTGTAATCTTGGGCTTTCTGAAACTTCTTACTTTAGAGGCGTTTGCCATACAAGGGTAATTCTAATTGGGAATAAAAGAAAAACCTAAGAATTTTTTGATAAAAGCCAATGTAGCAAGGTTTATTCCTATTTGCACATATTTTAATATTTATGCTCACCATTTGGAGATCTATTTGGTGACCAAAAACTATTCACTAAGTCACTTACACAGAAAACTAACCTCTCATAATTAATATGTAAACTTTTTTAAATGGCCCATAAGATTGATAACTTTTAAAAAGAAATCACTTCTTCCCATGTTTAAAGGTATATGTGACCGACTCTTACTCCATATTGTTGAATGGTAGGAGTCAGTACTTCACACTGCATTACTTGGCATATAATATTCTCTTTGGCAGGCTGACATTTTCCGTCTTGAGATATGGCCAGCCCAGGGAAATGTTGCTGACATCAGGCCCTATTCTGCTGATGTTACACAAAACTGCAGGATTTAAAACATGGCATTGCTCCAGAAATATGTACTATTTTTCATATGCAGCACAAAGTAATGCAATAAAAAAGTCACATCTGCTGTAGTTGTCATCTTATTTATCTGTCCATGTCTTCATTACCATGGCATCAACTTTTCAGGTGCTCTTGTAAACCCAGACTTCTGTTATTTATATGGGTTAAGGAGTGAAAGCAGTCCCTCTAGTACAGGTTTGTGATTCAGAAATACTCATGAATCAGTTGTTTGGCACTTACAACATATTTTCTCATTGAAAAACTAAACTGTAAATGAGAGTTACATTTCCAAACCTCTAATCCCTAATGTAGCTAAAGTTTTAAACATATTAAATAAAATATGAGACAACACTGTGATGTCACTTTTTAAGTATCATAAAGTGTACATAAATATAAAATGTGTTAAAAATTGAAAGAATAAAGTTAACATTTTCAATATTAATAATGAAGCAGGTATTTATATGTACAATGATTTAACTATGTGTGTACACAATTTGTTGACATAGTTCATGTATTATAAGCCATACACTAAAGAGAGAATAAGTGGATTATATAACAATAATTTTAGTATTTGGTTCTCTTACCCTAGCAGCTCCCCAGTTCATCCTGTGTAATTCATGGCACACACTGTAAATAACCATAACATGCTGAAAAAGACTTGAACTTCTGGATTATCAAATGACCTGTATTTCTCCAACATGGCTTCTGGCATTGGTGCTGAGTCTAGAAAAGAAAGGATCATGATTCCTAATTTTTGAAAAAACAGCAAAGTAGAAACAGCTGGCCTTCAAACTTTTCCAGGCGTGAGCTCATTTCCCTAGGCCATGTTTTCTGGGTAGGTTGCCTGTCTCAGTCCAGTGCCAAATTATTCTAGGGAACGAGGGAAAGGACCGGAGCTCCAGTGCCCTCTACAGGCAGCCACCTTCCCAGCACCCCAGCCTTTCAACATGGAAGCTCTCAGAGCTCAGAGCCTTTTCAGTTATTGTAGAGGATTTATTATAATAAGTAGCCACTGTCTACTAAATCATTAATCATCGGTGGTCAACTCAACCGTCAGCCCCTCCCCTTTCCCAGAAGTATGGGAAGAAGATATTTAAAAGGGAAGGAGGGTTTAAACTTTTTTTTTTCTAAATGGAATGCCTTTGGAAAAGCAATTTTGACTAGAAGAGTAAGAGGTAGATAGAGATCTTTGAGGAGATTCTGAAAGATACTTTTGGCATTTTGAAGGAATTTGAAGATAAAAGGTGCTTTATTGTTGCTATGTACAATTCACTTTCTAGTCTCACTTCTTAATAAAGATATATCATTATCTATTCTTCTATGCACATGAATCATGACTAGATTAAAAATAGTTTTTGGTGATAGGAGGGGAATTCCTAAGTGTAATAAATTCACAGTCTTTAATTCAGAGGATAACAATATTTTGAGTACACTTAAAGCAAACTTTATTTGTTTTGATTTTTTTATATTTTAAATTCATGGGGTCTTTTCTCTCAGGTCGACATTCTCTGTAGCTCACTTCCTCTCCCATTTTCTTCCCTCCCTAGATTTGTGTTCCAGAGAGAACATAAACATTATGGTTTAACTTTCTATAATTGGGTAAACAATGTTCATTACAAAGTCAAGAAATTCTAACTTTTTTGTATATGCATCTGAAAAATTAGCCTGTATTTTTTGTCTCAATCTTACCATCTCCTTTTTTTCAGCCTCTCTCCCCAGAGCCCTGTGCCTCCCTGTCCCAGTTTTAGCCTCGATGCTCTCTACACTTGCTTAACAGCTGTCATACTGAGACTTCCATTCAGTGCTTTCAGGAGAAGTCTATTAAAAGGCCAAATGTGATATCACACCTGCCACTTATGACTTAACAGTTTAATTGTGAAAGAGAAGCTGTTAGGTGGGAATCCCTTTTGTATCTGCAGAAAGCTTTAATGGACAACCATCACATTATTTTCCTTTGTACATTAGCAACCATTCCTATTTTTTTCAGGTCATTTCTAGTTCCTAGCACAGTATTAGGTTAACATCAGTCATAGATTTTTCATTGTGGATTCTTTCTATCTTAGATTCATGGATTTCTGTTTTTCCTCATAGATTTTTTTTCTCTCTCTTTCTTTATATTTCTGAGAACCAATGAAGTGGTCAAGTGCATAACCTTTAGAGTTAGGGGACCTTGGTGTCATCCCAGCTCCATCACTGATTGATTATCTGTATAATTTTAAGCAAGCTAATAATTATTTACCTTCTTTTTAAGCCTTGATTTACTCATCTGTAAAATGGGGGTAAAGATGGTGCCTAATTTATTGGTACTATGTATATGCCCAGTGTCCCTTTTAAGAAAGTGTGACAAGCCTTGGTGATGGGCTACGGTGGGGGGATATGTAACTTGAATGAGAGCCCTTGCTGATCTGATACCCCTTGTGTGGCAAAAACTGATTTGGAAGAAGTTGTAATGTGCTGAAGTGGAATGAGTCTACCAACAGAAATCAGGAAATCATCCAAAAAGGAATCAAAGGAAAATTGTTCTCAGGAGCAGTGTGTGTGCTTCATGGAAATATTCATAACAATCAACATTTTCTTCATGTTGTTACTCCTGTGACTCACATTTTTACATGCAGAATGCATGCCAGCAATCACATCAGTATATTTTTTATTCAGCCTGTTTCTATTCAGCTGTTCTCTCCCTAAGAGCTTCAGTTAGCTTTCATAACACCAAATCTATACAAATTGCACAATGCTCACTACCATAAATTAACTTCAAGTATATAATTCGACAATGGAAAAAAATAAAGTGAAGTAAAGATAATTAAGCATTTTCTGGTATTTCAGAAAGGCAACGTCATTTTCTTCTTTTATCCTAAACTGAAATTGCTTTCAATGTCATATATTAAATACACAGATTTTTAAACAAAACTCTTCTCTTATTGTAACATAAGGAGTTAAACACAAACAAAACATGATAGAAGTAAAAGATTATATACTAAATGGATTACACTTTGATGGAGCATGTGTTATTCATGCCATGGTCTAAGAATTTTAATTTTGGCCTCTCAGTTCATTAGTGTAAACAGGCAGAAATAAAAAAAAAGTAAAGGAAAAGAAAAATATTTATTAAAATACAAGGAAATGGTTAAGCAATCATAAAAAAGATAACACTTACATGGCACTTACTATATATTGAGGTCTAAAAGCTTTACATGATTGAACTTATTTATTCTATTCAATGACCCTATGATAGGAGTCCAATGATTATGTTCCCAGATACAACTAGAAAAGTAGAAGCTGGAATTTGAAACCAGTGACATCCAGTCCCAGAACCAGACAAAATCTAGAAAACTTGGTTCTTTAACAAAAGATGCTGGAAAAACTGGTTATACAAATGCAGAAGAACCAGTCTAGATCAATATCTCTCACTCTGCACTAAAATAAAAATGGCTCAAAGACCTAGATATTAAAGCAGAAACACTGAGTCCACAGGAAGAAAAACATTATATAATTCTTTTTAAAATTAATTATACTGGCACATTTAATGTATACAATATAATGACATTCATCATTGGAAATTTGCGCCTTTACATAATCTCTCTTGGCTCTTATTTTTTCCCCATTCCCCTGCCCTCCCTTCAACCCCTCCATCCCTCCCTATTTACAAAGACTTTGTT